TCCCTCTTCCACTCCCCCTGCTTGTGTTCCTCTCTCACTGTGTCTCTCTCTGTCAAATAAATAAATAAAATCTTTAAAAAAATAAATAAAATAAAATATGGGGTCCAGTGGATGAGGAAAGAGCATCAGAAACTAAACTGAGCAGGGGCGCCTGGGTGGCTCAGTCGTTGAGCATCCGACTCTTGGTTTTGGCTGGAATCATGATCTTGGGGTTATGGGATCGAGCCCTGCCTCGGGCTCTGAGTCTGCTTGAGAGATTGTCTCTCTCCCTCTCCCTCCCGCTCTGCCCCTCCCCCACTCATTCTCTCTCTCTCTCTCTCTCTCTGTCAAATAAAGTCTTTAAAAAAAAACTAAACTGAGCAAAACTGAATCCCCGTCTTTGACAAAAGCACCTGCTCAGACCTTCCCTAGAACTGTCAAGAGCCACTGCGATTAACTTGCCTAGTTATCTAGTGATGATCTAATGTGGTGTTTCTCAACCATGGCTTTGTGACAGCCCTGTAACTCCGTGATCACACAAACCCACACCTCCACCACATTCTCTCCATTTTTTTTAAGGGGAGAACAGGGACATATTTATCTCCATCTGTCTGACTAGTGGGTCTATTTCTTAGTTGGTTCCAAACTTGAAAGCTGAAATCCCCTTCTCAAAAAATTGTGTTAATTGCCTTTATTTATATATAAGTATTTTTTTATTTGAAAGCCATATCTGAAAGAGGACTTCACTCAGGTATTGTATACTTGATATGAACAACAGTTCACAAGGCAATGGACCAGGTGTCCTGGGGAATTGAAAGATGAATAGGACATAGTGCCTGCCTCCAAGCAAGTGGAATATAAAAATGACAATAATGAGCACTTACTGAGACTCTATTGTATGTCAAGGGCCATTCTGAACTCTTTATAGAATCTTCACAACAGCCCCTTGTGATTGTGGGATCCACTCCATTTTATCCACTCCATATCGACTTTATAGTCGAGGAAGCTGAGGCTCAGAGAACCTAAAAAAAACCTAACCAAGATCACAAAATGAGTTAGATACTAAAGCTAAGATTCAACACCAGATGCAAATAACCCTAAGTAATGGGTATCCCAGCAGAGCTACAGAAATTACTCTGAAGCTTCAGCACAGGAGAATGCCTACCACCTCAAGGGTCCGGGGAAGCCCATAGTCCACAGCATGCTGGTTCAATGTCACAGCCTAACTACAAATCGTTCTCACCACAAGCTTATGAATTACTGGTAAGAGACTTCCCAAGTCCACACCTGCCCCCTTGAGCAGTTGGAAAGGCTAAGGGGGTCCCTAGCATCCCCAGGGCATCAGAAGAGTGTCCTCCTCCTAAATGTCATTGCCCATTAAGAAGAAGCAGGGCTGGGGCGCCTGGGTGGCTCAGTTGGTTAA